CCTTTGATAAAATAACTGTTTCTAAGGCAGCTCCATTCTTTGAAGCTGTGTCACAGTGCAGTTTTAAAAATTAAAAATTGCCAGCTCACTTAGCTAATTTATCCTAGTCTTGCGAAGTTAGCTGAGTTTCCTGTAATGATTCTATTTCATATCTCACTAAACATAAAACATAAATGAATTATCCTAAACATGCTGAAGCCCCACCCCCATTTTTGTTTTGAATACAAGCGTAAATTTTCTTGACCACGATTCAAGAGAGACGTACAAGAGTTTCCGCCATGATATTATTAAGGCAGCACTGTAGATAACTCCATGGATCATATATATCAAGGACGTTTCATCAGAAGTTTCAGGGAGACAACAAAAGGAAGTCAAGAACGTAAGATAACACACAAAAGTCGCATTTCTTGAATTACAGGAGAGAAACCTGCGACCCTATTTATCTCACATGCCACAAACAAGCAGTATCAGCCGTACGAAGGGGTGATGTTAACTCAAGCATGTGAAGATGACGCCCTTTGTTTGTTTGCGACGCTCTTTCACGGCCTGCAATTATCTTCACACGGAGAATTAAAGAGGCAAAATACGCGGCTTGCGGTTTCCATGGCGAATGTAACGGCATGGCGGCTTCGAATGGCGTGAGTGATTACACCATTACGAAAATTGGTCCGCTGTGTGCTGCATGCATGTTGTCTTCCTACCGACAGTCTGTCTGAAAGTCTAGCAAAGTAATTTACTTCTGTATTCAAGTAAAACAATGGAGACGCAATACAGTTATGCTCCCACGCCTTATAAAGGCGTTTTATTCACATGAATGATTCATGCCGTTTCATTTTGCAGTTCATTTTCCGTTACATTACGTGTGTTATGTAAAGGTCGCGTATAATTGCAATTAAATTATTTCTCTTGTTCAAATGAACAAAATTACAATGGTATATGTTGTTCTATATGGCTGTGAGAGCCGGTCACGGTAGCCGAGCGGTCTAAGGCATGCACTGTCTTCGCTCGCTCGGAAGCCGAGATCTTGGTTCGAATACCACTCAGGGCATGGATCTTTGTGTGCGTTTTTCCGTGTTTGTCTACAGGTAGAGGCGACGAGCTGATCACTCGCCCAAGGAGTCCTACCGAATGTGTAAGATCTAGAAAAACCGAAGTGAACGGAGAAGTTCATGGAGGTAGGCCTAGGCCCACTGGGGCTGTAGTACCAAGGAAAATATGGCTGTGAGACTTGGTCTCTCACCCTAACAGAAAAGGGTACGGGAGAATGAGACTGACAGCGAACAGGCCGCTGAAGAGACTGTTTGGACCTAACAGAGATGAACATGATGTTTGAGAAAATTTCGCGATCAGGTTCATAATTTGTATTCCTCCGCAAATTTTATGGGGTCGATCAAACCAAGCAGGGCGAGACGTCAGAAATACGTAGACGCATGGGAGACAGCTGCAAATGAGTATAAAATTATGACAGGATATCTAACAGGAGAAACGTTGAAGATGTACAAGTAAACTGGGGGGAGGGGTCTTAAATTTCGTCTTAAAAGAAATGGGTGTGACGTTAATGACTGCATGCATCTAGCTCAGAACAGGAAAGAGTTACGGGCTTATGTGAACACGCAATGCCCCGCCGTTTAACTGGGCCAGTAGCTGCATACGGCGCACTTGCGATTACTGCTCATCAGTGATTCACTGACTCAGCATAAATGAACACCTATAGTTCATTCGCGGAGACGAGAGAGTCCTCGTAAACAAATGCACGCGGTATCTCCTTCGCTCTTTGAATGAAATTATGCAGCGATCACGTGATGCGTGTACCGTTACAGGGGCGTCCAAAGTTCACACTTCAGTCTGAATGCAGGTTAACGTGCGTCCGAATGCAGTGAGTACACTGAAGTAACTGCGCGCTTTGTCCACTCCTTGCTGTCAGCTGTGGCGACGCGGGGCTTGCTTTGTTTACGCTAACTGTCTCGTCTCCGCGAATGGACTATAGCTACAGTTACTCTCAGTCCTACAGCGACTGTGTTTGTGAGTCTACTGTGGCATGTGCATCGATTTTTTCATTTAAAAGTTTAGATTCGTACAGAAATGCTTCGCTGAGAAAAACTGCCTTATTTGAATAAATCATCAAACCAACTGCCTAACACCAGCCATAGCCAACTTGCGGAGTAACAGTAATGCAGAAATTGCACGCGTTACACAGCAGCAAGGGCAACTGGGAGATGAATGGACATTAAACTCCCCAAAAACAGAAGCGTGAAGGTAGGGATCCAGATGTTGAAAGAGTCCCTCAATCTCTATCGTAACTGAATGAGGTGCAGGTGTCAGTCCAATGTTGAAAAGCAGTCAGAGGCGTTAGCTAAGAGGCTGGGTCATAAAGATATCAAAGCAAAAGATGGGTGGTTGTCTCGACAGAGATGCAGGTTTGCGATAAAATTCAAGATGGCACATGGCGACGACAGTGCTAACGCTGCAAATGCTGGACAGTGGAAATGCACAAAGTTGGCAAACTTGCTTCAGCAATTTTGCGCAGATGATACGAGGGTAAGTCAGTAAGTAAGTTGCAAATGGATATAGATCTTAAACAAATAAGAGTAGTGATTTGAAAAGAAATGCTCCTAATTCTCAACATAATCTCCCTGTACATTAAGGCACTTACCCCATCGTTTCACAAGCCCCTGAAAACAAGCAGCATAAAATTCTTTGGGCTGCTCTCGGAACCAGGCGGTGACTTCCCTTTCTACAGCTTCATCGTCGGGAAAATGTTCAGCCGAAAGATGATGTTTAAGAGGGCCGAACAAATGGAAGTTGCTTGGAGCAAGACTCGTCAACTGTGACAATTCGGGCTAGCATATCGTGTCCATCGTGGTAGCGATTGACATGCTGTAATGCCAGACTCATTCTTTGCATTTTGTACTGTGGGGTCAGCATGCGCGGCACCCATCCTGCACAGACTTTCTGAAAACCTAACCTGTCATGCATTATGGGGTAGGCCATGCTGTGTGAACACGCTTGGTTCCGACAGCAGCCCAAAGAATTTTATGCTGCTGGTTTTCAGGGGGTTGTGAAACGATGGGACAAGTGCCTCAATGTACAGGGAGATTATGTTGAGAATTAGGAGCATTTTTTTTCAAATCAGTACTCTTATTTATTTAAGTTATATATCCATTTGTAACTTACTTATTGACTTACCTACGTACGTGTATTTCATAGCTCAAGCGGTTAGTCGCTGGCTTCCCACCGCGGTGGCCCGGGTTCGATCCCGGGTCTGGTCAAGTGGGATTTGTAGTGGACAAAGTGGCGCTGGGGCAGGTTTTCTCCGAGTACTTCGGTTTCCCTTGCCAATCTTCATTCCACCAATTGCTCCACAATCACCCTCGCCTATCATCTGGGGCTGGTACAATAGGTCAGAGGTGGCCGCGGTACAAGGGACTTAGTCCCACCCCACTAGCAATTCAAAAACTAATAAAAAAAACGCGCGCGCTCACACACAAAATAACTTCATGGAGATGAGCCCTTCTTGAGAAGCCGCCAGTTGCGCGGCTACTCAACAATTTCCCAACGCTTTATGGAACTCGAAGGTTCATTGCCGTGTTCCCTATCCTGAGCCACATCAATCCAATCAACACCACCTCATTCCGTCTCTGTAAGATCCATTCTAATATCACTTAATATGATCCCTCAATCTACATTATCAGGGTGACGGACAACCATTCACACATTTTACACATACGCTTCATCAAAATACTCGTATGTAAGTTTACACATCTAGTTCTTAAGACCGTTCACGAAACAGGATCAGCGACAAATCGTCCGTTCGTATTCTGTAAATATGAGTATGTAGAACAGCTTAAGTACGCTGAGTTGTAACGATTTCAAGACTTTGTAACGGACATAACTGTTTCCAGAATCTCAGCCAGTGTAATGAGAGTGGGAAGTCGGAAAGACGACAGACCATCAGAACTACTGAAACTATTGTAAAATAAAACATAAATAAATATTGACACGATTCTTACTGTTGCAAAGTTGGCTAGCAATGTCACTGCGAAGCTACAAACTAGTTTTTTCTGTACCCCGTTAAATATTAACCACAATGAAAATTGTTTAATCGTTTGGTTTGTGGTTAATGTTACGACGAAGCCGGTATACGTGGTATACGTATATACTATACAACATCGAGTGGTAGAATTAGTGATGAACGATGACTTAATAAGGATTTGGAAGGAAGCGGTCGTGGCTTTATCGAGGTAGTCCTAGTATGACTGTAGGGACTGAGGAAAAACACAAAAACCTCAGTCACGACAGCTGGTGTCTCGGCCGAGATCGAACCGAGCACCTCTCGAATACAAGTTTAGAGCGTTAACGCTAAACAAACTTACTTGCTGAATGATGAAATAACATTTGTCTTTTATATGACGCATAAATTATGCATAAGTTGTCTATTCGGTGAGTCTTTCTACTAAAATAAATGATAGTTCAATTTCAGCGCTTTGTAGTTAAGGATTACATTGGACTGATAGAGGTAAAGTTGTCCCCTGCTTAAATAATCAAGCAATATGCCATGAAGACATATGAGGGAGTGTAGGTGTACCTCCACCATTCTTGACCTCAGCACTAGATGCAGGTGAGTGGTCAGAATCACGCCCCGGGCGCTTAACCCCCGGTACCCACTGGATAGCAGGCTGGGTGGACCACATAGCCGGTCTGGTCGATACGGAGAGGGCGGAAAACCCCTTACCGGGATTCGTTCCCGGTTAGTGCAGATCGTAGTCCGTCTCTATACCGACTGAGCTGTCGCAGCTCTATACAAGACTTAGACTAACCCGCCATCTAACAGTGTATACGCAGCACCAAACATCGTCGAAATTCGTCGATTGATTTCGGAGATGAAACATGCGGACGGACGGAAACAGTTTCTTCACAAGCCTACATTTGAAGAACTGTTTGCAAAGAACGCATACAAATGTCAACGTACTTAGCATAGTATTGAATGTCGAGGTACTTACATTTCTGAAGTCCACGAGCTGCGTAATCAGCGTCCCGTCAGATCGCTGGAACTCCAGAGTCACCGAGTCCTCACTCACATTCGCAGTGATCGTTTCTTGAAGGACATCACCACCCTAGAAAAACGTCACACAAACACTGTACTGAGAATCAGTGACATACAATATAACTTCATCCGCGTGGAGCAGTAGGAAAACGATGAGGAGTTTTGGAAAGACAGAGACAGACGGCACACAGAAGTATGGAAACGACAAAAGAAGAAGAAAAGCTTCAGTCATGTTACAACTTAATTTATTTCTGGTCACTAAACCCTTTCTAGCCGGTCACGGTAGCCGAGCGGTCTAAGGCGTGCACTGTCTTCGCTCGCTCGGAAGCCGGGATCGTGGGTTCGAATCCCACTCAGGGCATGGATCTTTGTGTGCGTTTTTCTGTGTTTGTCTACAGGTGTATGTGTGTAAGATGTATGTATGTGTAAGATTGTAAGATTTAGTAAACCGAAGTGAAACGGAGAGTTTCATGGAGGTAGGCCTAGGCCCAAATTGGGGCCGTAGCGCCACAGGAAGAAAAACCCCTTTCTATGCTGGATATTTTGTGTAAACAGTATTTTATTTGTCGAGTCTCCATTTGCATGGTATCACTTCATTTCAATTGTCTGGGAACGGAAAGTCTCTGGTTTGAACCGTCGACAGATGCTCAAAATAATGCACACCAAAGAAAATCGAGTTAAAAGTTATCAGAGGAAGGTTTCAAGGCTCTGTGTCCTTCGAGGACGGAAATGTATTAACTTTCTTTCACAATCAGCATTGGGACTTAAAGTTGTTACCACTCTTGTTTGGGAGCCGGGATAGCGTAGTCGGCATAGCGACTAAATACGGGCTGGACGACCGCCGGGTCGGAGTTCGAGTCCTGGTATGGTCAACAATTTTCTCTTCTCCACGTCGTCCGGACCGGTCCTGCGGCCTACTCAGCCTCCTATTCAATGGGTATCAGGGTCTCTTTCCCTAGTGGTAAAGTGGCTTGGGCGTGAAGCTGACCACTCACCTCCAGCTAGTACCAAGGTCAAGAAAATATGGTTCTATACATCCACTCCACCATACGCCTTCATGGCACAGTGCCTGATTAGTTAAGCAGTTCCATTCTAGCTTATATTTCATCCTACGACTGTCTGAGGAATATAGTAATTTCCAGAGCACCTCCACGCAAACAATAACAGATCAAGTTTAACCCCCCTCCCCCGCCAAATAAAAAAAATTGTGGACACAGTAACTTGAGCTTAAAAATTTTCCTCTAAGTCATGAGATTTTCAGTTCTCACGAAGGTGGGCACATCTACTAGGATTATGGTCTTCTGAGACGTGATGACCTGTACTTTGGTAGATATGTATCGATGTTTCGGAGGAATATGCTACCTCCAACCTCAGGGTAGGTTTCTTCTACAAGGTAACACATCCAAGTCGATCATAATCACATTTTTTACCATTTATCAACCTCCTCCCCCAACGAATATACACTGTATTTTCACTAAACTCGGCAAATATGTTATTCGTAACGACTTTACTTCCTTCAAATTCTGAGATTTGAAAGAGGTGTGTTTACCTCGCCGTTCCATAGAAACGGTAATTCTTCTGCTTGTTGCGCGTGTTCATTTCCGTGGCGACCTGTTTACCAAGTCGTTGCCTAGCAATGAACATCTACTCTGGCTCCGCAAATCCGGCTTTCTGGTGTCATGTCACAATATGGTTCGTCCTGTGCTTTGCAGAAACTATTTGAGAAGCATTACTACCAACTACGAAGACTAATTAATCACCAGAAGTCTGAAACTCGACATAAATTCGGTTCCTACATCAAAGAAAACACACCGGGCCTCAAGTATTAAGGCTAAAGCAATAGTCCTATTTGCTGTTTATTCTGAGAATCATGCGAAATACATAAATACACTGCGCGGGCGAAATGCCGAGTTTCTTTTCTTACATTAATGCAAGAGGCTCGTACAGATTACTGTTGTGATTTAAATGGTCAAGTACGATTCAATGTACGTGTACTTACTGACTGTGCATTTGCATAACTGCCACTTAGGCGGGAACGAGGCGAGGATCTTACGATTGATGTGTTACATAATCTTGCTCTTCACTTTGTATTCCACCTGTCTGCCTGCCTCTGTGCATCATGCCACACTGCAGAGGCAGTTCAGCCACACGGCACTCAATCACGTCTCATGAAAGCCCTATTACTGCTATATTACGACACTATTCTGAACGATACCCACTCCCATCCATATCACTGCTTAACTTCATGCAATTATACTAAATGTCCTTATGTAATGCAAGCCTATTGTTATTGAACTTGTTTATTTAAAGATATTGCCAATAGTTCGGACTATACAGCGTGGAATGACGAATTGGTCGAGCCTAAATTGTTGGAGAAACTGAGGAAAACCATGAAAAACCTCAGTAAGGAGAACAGGTCTTAGAGCCCAGACTGACCAACATTTTACTTATGTCAAGGATGGAACGTATTCAGGGCCGTGCCGTAAAAAACTAATCTCCCTGGCTTGAGTCCGCAAGCGAATTATAGCGACTGAGCGACCGCCGCCTGTCGGCGAAGTTAGTGTCAACTGTAGCGGATAGAGAGTGTCGCGCAGTCAGCGCAACGAATTCCCACGTTGATTTCGGTTTTCTAGACCGTAGCCGCTGTTTCCTTGATATAGCTCCTCAATTATCCTCACGAGGCTGAGCGGAACCCGTTCCAGACGCACTACTTCTCAGAAAATTTGGTAGCGCCGGGAATAGAAACCGGACCTCTGGATGTGGCCAGGAACTCTGACCAGAAGACCGCAGAGGCAGTCACAGGGCCGTGCCACGGCTCAGAAAATTATCTGCTGACCTCCCACCGCGATGGTCCGGGCTTGATCCCATGTCAGGTTATGTGGAATTTGTGGTGGGAAAAGTGGCACAGGGGGGTAGGGTTTCTCCGAGTACTTCGGCTTTCCGTGCCAGCTACCATTCCGCCACCAGCACCACATTCACCAAACATCGTATCATCCTTCGCCACGCAGCTCAGTCTCGATTCTGACAGCATCGCTAAATAATCAACCTCAAAATATACATCAACATCGTCATTTCTTATTAATCTCTTGAAAAGTGTAATCTTCAATATTTATACGCTCGTCTTATTTCAGTTCCGTACGTTTAAGGCAGTTTGTATGACGTAAGCAGTGTGGTGATAAGCGTAACCATGACAACCACGAATACTGTATATTAAAGGAGGCAGCCTACATGATCTTTTCGCGCAACTCAGTTCTTAATTAAGAAATACTGCATTTGGGTTAAGTGTACATTCACCAAGAATTCTTCCATATCTCAAACGCCAAAAACCACTTCCAAATACTGACCCCCTTTGATAAGCTAACTGTTGATCAGAAGATCACGGGCAATTAGACATCACAGAAAAATAATAAAAAAAAATCCCTTATTTACACTTAAACACGAGTTATTAAAAATATTTGTACGTTTACACACTGAATTTGCCACAGAAACACACCTAGCTGAAGGACATTGGCTAGAGGAGCAAGTGAGCGGGGAGGAGTTACGAATGTGCCGAGCAGGAACACGACTGCCGACTGTTTCGCGAACAGTGGGGTAACATTTAGGACCACTAAGGACATTTGGTCCTGACTAAGGAGGTAACTATGAGGAGACAGAACTCAGGGAATGCTTGCTATCATTCAGTCCAGAACCTGTTGTCTTCTCGTCTGCTATCCAAAAAACATAAAATTTAGAATATACAAACCCATAATTTTGCCTGTGGTTCTGTATGGGTGTGAAACTTGATTTCTGACATTAAAGGAGGAACACAGACTAAGGGTGTTTGAGAACAGGGTGTTGAAGAGAATATTAGGACCCAAGAGCGATGAAGTGACAGGAGGTTGGAGAAAACTGCATAATGAGGAGCTTCATAACCTGTACTCTTCTCCAAGTATAATTAGAATGATCAAGTCTAGGAGGATGAGCTGGACATGGAATGTAGCACGAATGGGGGAGAAACTGAATGCACATAGGATATTGGTGGGAAAGACAGAAGGAAAGAGACCACCGGGAAGACCAAGGAGTAGGTGGGTGGACAATATTAAAATGGATCTTAGAGACATAGGATGGGGTGGCTTGGATTGATCTAGCTCAGGATAGGGACCGGTGGAGGGCTCTTGCAAACACGGTAATGAACCTTCGGGTTCCATAAAATGCTGGGAAGTTCTTTAGTAGCTGCAGAATTGGCGGCTCCTCAAGAAGTGCTCAGCTCCATGAGTAAGTGTGGACGTTTAATAAGAACAAAGTATGAAAGTGACGACGCCTGTTATGCGGTGTCAGCAAATTTAATCTTCCCAATAAATGATCACAGGAGCCGACTCAGCCTCTAACAGAAATGAGTACCAGGAATCTTCTTGGGGGTAAAGGGAGACCGGCGCGTAGGGCTGACAACCTTACCGCCATCTATGAACCGACTGTCAAGAAAATGTAGGAACCTCAACATCTCACAACCCTATGGGCCTTCACGGCCTGTTACAGGATTACCTTCACTTTTTACTTTTAATAAATTATCATAATGATATTCCGCATCTTGAAAAAAATCTGTTGTGACAAAGGGCTGTAATTTTTCTTCTTATGCGCTCAAGCTTACTGGAGTCAGTAATCGTAACGGGGTTCCAAGTAACAGAAGCATACTCAATTCAGATATGATCGAAACAAAATATAGCATCAGTAGACTGTAAAATGTGGAAAAAGCAAAATGGTAATTTGAGTGCACGTGGAAACAAAAAGTAAATAGAAATGACGATGAAAGTGAAATGAAACAATATGCATATCCGAATCCTTAATGCAATCTGTTCGCAACGTAAAGGAGTTCCATGTCCGTACTGATAATTCAGAACGTTCGTTCTCCAGGGGAAAGAATGACTGTAGTTTTACTGAAATTAGGCATCATAAAATTTACGGAACATCATTTATGCACAAGATCAATATCTGACCGCAGAAGTAAACACTCACTAGGTGAATTAATAGCTCGATATACTTCAAGGTCGTCAGCAGAAAGGAGACGGTTGGGGTGATTAATTACGTCGCATA